ATTTTCTGTCAAAGCTCAGTGAACATATACACATACAATGGTGCATTTCATTGTATGTAAATTTTATCTCAAACAACAACAAAAAAAGCTGTAAATATTAAACTCTAGTTAATGATATGCATGCTAAAGTATTTAGGAGAAGTGTACTGCTGTCAATACTTACTCTGAAATGCATTAAAAAATAGGATGGATTGACTGATCAATAGAGGGACAAATAGATGGCTAAGTGATAAAACAAGTACAGTAAAATGCTAACAGTAGAGTCTAGGTGGTGGGTATGTGGCTATTCTCTGTAAATTTTTTCCACTTTTTCTGTATACTTGAAAATTTTCATACGATATATTAAGAAAAAAAGACAGATGTTACTTTCACAATCTATACAAATACTAAACATAATATTCCTTCAGAATTTCTATCAGATGTTGATCCAAATCAACTCAATCAGTGCCCTTCTTAGAGAGTTTACCAGGTACTGATGAGGTTCATAGCATCTGGCACAGGTAGCAGGGAGCAGGGGTCTGCTAGTTTTGTTGGGTTTTTTGGAAGCAACCTGTTCTATGCAACAATGCCCTTTCTTGACGTTAGAATTGGAGGGAACCTGCCATGTACCCTGATGAGTAGAGAGGCATTAAGACAGGGAAGCACATGAATCACTAGCAGTGGGTCCATCAGCAGGACAAAATATGAAAAATTAAGACAGAAAGTCATCCCATAATAAGCCTGTACCAAAATCCCTAGAACTAGACTAGGAAAACAATTGTTGCTTAGAAAATATCTCAGGGGTGATTTATTATATACTTCCTTATAATAAATCAACATTACTAGTGATATCTAATAAATATTTATGCACAACATGGATTTTCCATACTATGGTTAGAATACTGTATAAGAATCAGTCTCTAGTCCTAATGCCTTTCTCTTAACCCCTATCTTATGTTCCTACTCTATCATGCATCAGGATTTTCCTTAATGTAACATTTTTCTTAATTCTATAATTGCCTAAGGTCAAACATACATTAAAAGGCAAAAAACAGATTACACATAAAAAGCTCAAAAACAGACAAAACTAATCTACGGTGCTAGGAAGTCTGAACCGCGTTTACTTTTATGAAGGGGAGGTAATGGCTAGAAGTCAGCAGGAGTGGGGCTTCTGGGTGCTGATATTGTTCTGTTTCATAATTTGGGTGTTGATTATACAGACATGTTCATTTATAAGCTTTACATTTATGATGTGGGCACTTTTCTGTTTGTATGTTAAACCTCTTTAAAATCTCCTAAATAATAACCTTTAAGGTTTAGATGAAAGCAGCTAATGAACAAATTAACAAAAATTTACCAAAATATAGACTAATCAGAACATATTGCTATATATTTCATTCATATTTTTAAAATCAATAAACTCTAAAAAGTTATTTGAAAAAAAGAGAATGACCATAAATCTGGCTGTATCTTTGAAATGCTGACTATCACAACAACTGCATTTTCTTTAAACAATATATAAAAATATATTACCATGTTCCAAACAGAGAAATAAAATCCAAACAGGGAAGCACTGAGCCCCAGGTTCAGGCTTACGTCTCTTACAGAATTCTGTAAGATTTAATCAATATTATAAAAATGAACAACAAAAAACCTGAAAGAGGTGAAGAAAGAAAAGAAGGCAAAAAGCAGAAAACATGCATGTGCTTTACTCCTAAGCCATCTTCTTGGACTAATACAGCCCCTATTAGTTTTTTAATATATTTTAAATCAAATTAGGTATAATTAACAATTAGAGAAAGGATAGTATAAAAGGTTATTACTAAAAGAGTGGTTATTATTTTCTCAGGGCATTTTTCACTAATAGGAAACAAAAAAAATTCCATTCTTTCACTGAGTTTACAAGAAAGATTTTCATTTTCAGCACTATAAACAAGAACCAAATAAAAAACATCATCTACCATTCTCTGAGAATATAGAATAATGTTAAAATAAAGTAAGTCACTATTTCTTTTTTTACAGCATAAAATGGTACACCTATTTTTTACAAAAGAAAAAGTGTCCAAAATTACAGTCACATACTTTTTACCTTTTAAAAACTTGGCCAAAATTGAGAGCTACATACTTTGGGCCTTAAAAACCTTTGAGGAAAGTTCCATCCATCCTACTCCTCTCTACAGATCTAAAGGTACCTAAAGGTAGCCCCTCACTCTGATTTCTTTGCACTATCGGGGTGATGAAATTCCCCAGTTTGAAACTGGAGCCTGGATATGGAGTCATAACCTTTCCCTGAGCTCAACTACAGTGAAAATGCTGAGGGTTCAGTGAACACACAGGGAGAGGAAGTAAGCTGTTATTAAATGCTACAAATTTCTTCCCCAGTAGGATTTCGGAGTCTGAATATGTAATCTAGCAGAGATGCATCTGACATTTCAAGTTTGAGGACTTAGCATGAGTCTTGGCCTGGAGTGGGGGAACCTTCAGCACACACCTGAGACATGTGTACTTAAGTTATACTCTACAACATATGGTACTGAGTTTCTCTTTCATGATACATTCTCCAGAGTAACCACCTCACCATCTATTTACAAGAACACTTAAGAGAAGAGATTTTTAAAAGACTACTTAAACCTATTTCTACTAAATATTACACCATTAAGAATATGCTTGTTCTTTTAAAACTCTTTGTCCTTACCCAGTGGAGGCTGAAGTAAGTCCCCATCCTTTTCACAGGTCCCAACTGGCTGTATGTCCGGGGAATCAACAAGTCTCCAAAAGTCATTCCGGTTGTCACTACCATCCAGTCTTAAACGTAACCTGGCACCAGTAATTCCAACAACTGTGGCAATACACACTGAAGTAGTATTGCGAGGGTCATGGGCTTCCAATTTCATACCAACTTTGAAATCATTAGCTGGTGGAATCTTGGACTATATGTATGTATAAATAAAATTTTGTTAAAAAATGCATCAACTACAGGAAAAACAAATAGCACGTAACCAGAATATCCACAGAATGTTTTAAGTAACAGTCACAGCAGACGATAAGGGAGGTAAGGGGTATGAAGGTCAAGGAAGAGATCTTCTCTAAACCCTCTCCTTAGCTTGACAGATACCATAAAAACACCAACCACTGTTGGTCTACTCATCTCCCACTTCCAGGCAACCCAAATACAGCCTCTAACATGCCTCTTAAGTGGCTTTCTAAAATAAGAACCTGCTTAAGCCATTCCCCTAGAAATAAGTCAATCAGCAGCTCACCACGGCCTAAGTTTAAAGTCCAACTTCTCAGCACAGTTTAAAAGTCCACACATCTTTAACCTCATTCGCAGTCTATCACCTCTACCTACTCTGTGCTCCAGCCATGTCATGCCATCCCTCAACAATCAGCCTCTTTCACACTCATGCACCTTTGCTTAGGATGTTCTCTCTGCCTTCAATATCCTTTGCCTCCTTCCACCCATCTCAGGTAACAGCTCTTCTGTGAGCCTTCCCAGTACAGAGTTATCACACTTCTTGTAATTATTTATATGTCTATCTTTCCCTCCAGATGGGCAGTCATGAGGGCTTCGTATTCTTCTTAGTATACCTGACACAGAGTAAATTCTTAATGGATAAATGCAAAGAGACTGTCTGGCTCCTAACTGGCACTACCACAATCCCACTACTAGAACTAACAATCACACAGATAACTTTCAGCAAGTTTATATTAATATTTATAATACATACAGAATTTGGCATACCTGTCTGAAATACTCTGGAGGAGCACTTACAGATCCAGTCCCTTTCAAGTAATTGTCCCATTGGAAATCATCTGGTAGGAAAAAAAAGAAAATTGTTTTTTAGTATATATATATATATATATATACATACTAACATACTTTTAGGAATAAAATAGGTTTTGTTTCCAAACCTCTCAAAAAATACTTTCTAAACAGTAGTTTCAAACTTCCCAGGATTACTAGCATGGAGCTAAAAACTATGACAATTTCCTGGTGATAATGGCTCTGATAATAAATTATACCCTAGCTCCTCTCAGTGTAATGAGAACTATAGCACAGTGATTTTAAACAATGTGGGCTCTAAAAACAACTAAAGAAAAGGTTATAGAGTAATACCAAATTCTACTCATTTGTCTCTGATGTAAATTTACTCAAAAAATGTGTTTTCATCATTTCATCACATTAATGTGAAGGTGTGCCTTCTATTTATTTATTTAAATTGTGCTTTAGGTGGAAATTTACAGAACAGAATTTTTTTTACGTTCAACATTTCGTGCACATTTGGTTTCAATCCCCAATTACCATCCCGAACGCTAACCCACTATCCTCCCTTCCCTTCCCTTCCTAGTAACACCCCCCGTGTCCCTCATAGTTATGCACTCCTGTGTGTCCTGCCATTTCCTCCAGGTGGATGTTGCCCCTCTGCTGCTCCGTGGCGATTACTCAAAGGGATGCATCTCCATAGAGTATGTGGGTGTGTCACCCTGGGTTGAGTGGTCTGCATGTACATTTTATTTACTATTGGGCTGAGAGCCAGCTCCTGGGAGTGAGTTTTATTCCAGGCCTGAAGTATATCCCAGGGCCACAGTATTGGGGGTCCCACCAGATTCCATCCAACCAGTAATTCTGGTCATTACTGTGTTTTTGGATTTTGTTCCACGTTTTTCCACCCACTCTATCCAGGATCTCCGGTTTTGATCCCCTCATGAGTGGCTGGCATTGGTAGTCAGGCACCATCTAGTTCATGAAGGTGCTTCTTGGTTTATCATGGGGAGCTGAAGGTGTTTAGGTGTGTGGTCTAACAGAATTTTATCCCTGCCATGCTTTATAGAAAGAAAATACATGAGAACCAGTCTACTTTTTTAATCAACTTTTAGATCTCTGAGTGTGTCAAGAATATGGTGGCAGAGAAGGACTTCCAGTAAGATGCAGGAATAGGCAGACAAATGACACAGACCCTCTTCAACAAAGAAAAGAAAAACCAATTGACAGAGATACAGAAGATAATCCTGGAACCCTGAGCTTTGAAAGGAACTATACAGAAGTGGATTAGGCACCAACTA